CTGTGTACAACACTGGTTAGGTTAAAGTATCAATCTGTGTACAACACTGGTCAGGTTAAAGTATCAATCTGTGTACAACACTGGTCAGGTTAAAGTATCAATCTGTGTACAACACTGGAAAGTATAAATATGTGTACAACACTGGTTATGTTAAAGTATAAATCTGTGTAAAACACTGGTCAGGTTTAAGTATCAATCTGTGTACAACACTGGTCAGGTTAAAGTATCAATCTGTGTACAACACTGGTCAGGTTAAAGTATCAATCTGTGTACAACACTGGTCAGGTTAAAGGCACAGCAGTTGTGTAGTATATCATACAGTACAGCCAAAAGACAAGGATTATGACACTTAGAAAAAACAACAAAAAACACCTGAACAAAATATAATCAATCTAGAAGAAACGATTTGATTTTCATTGTTAGAAAATAAAATTAATATTATGCTAACAGACTAATTCTGAAAACAAGTGCACTACACTCTGACTGGACAATTGTGAAGATTCTTATAATTGTTTTATTTGTAGCATATCTAGTATAAGATATACATAGTTAGTATTATATACATACTATATCCACAAATATCAAGTAAAAGCACAGTAAAAAGTGGTAATTCTGTAGTGGTACACTATGTTTAAAACAAGAGGGAATCCTCAATAGCCATGGCAGTAATTAGATCTCAAATCGGTCAAGAGATGGAGCTATGAGCTAAAGGTTTGTACTTGAAAAACAAGAGGGAATCCTCAATAGCCATGGCACTTGAAATTCTTTTGTGCAGAATTAGAGTAAATTGATCTATGAGACCCTTTTCCCCCCCTATTTATTAGCTATATTTCTGTGCACCAGTAATAACAAGTATGGGGGGGGGGCGTATACCCAATTAAATTTTATTACTCATCAGGATCTCTACCAGTCTACCCTCAAACTGAAATTTCTTTAGGCAGAATTAGAATAAATTAATCTATTTGACCTTGGGCATGATCAAATACATAAACTGAAAGGGTTTTACCCCCTGAGTCCAAAACTGTAATTAGATCTCAAATCGGTCAAGAGATGATGGAGATATGAGCTAAAAGTTTGTACTTGGAAAAAAAAAACTCAGAACCATTTTATGCTGCGGCTAGAAAACCCAACTATTCCTCAATCATACTCACATTCTTCAGGGGCATTGAATGCGTATAGTGCCCTCTGATAAATACATCCTTAGCTGTCTTGGTGCCATAGTATGCCAAAGGTGAGCGATGCCCATGGACAGCTATAAAAGTAGCAACAGCAAATAGAACATATACTAATACTTCTCTGATTATCTTTAAAATAAATTTCTGTTTTATCCAAAGTTTCTTTAGTTTTTCATGAGTTTCCTTTGATAAAGGTTCAGCTGGTATGTCTTCTAATTTATTTTCTTTTTTACGTGATAACATCTGTTGCACAGATGGTGTCACATACACTTCGTCTGACTGAAGAGCAGTATTATCATTCCTGTCCATTAAAACTGGAGATTTCTGTAGAAGTAGTAAAAAAATAAAAGTAATAAAATTCACAATATTGGCATGAATTTTAAGAGAATAAATAACTTCTAAAATATTATAAAAAGAACACTTTACAGTTTTGATTAATTTCCAACTGTAACTAGTTTAGTTTGCAATGTGCATTTAAAAATTAAAAATAATTAACCATAAACTTGTAAAGAATAATAAAATCATGCTTACCTTAATTATCCAGGCCAACAAGACAGCAAAAGTAATTGACATTAATGGCTGAATAATTATGAAACTGTGAAATAAAGCTGTAACCACCGATAACAGCCACTCCAAACTTCGTTTGTAACCGTACGTTAACCCATACAGTATGGTAAAGAATGAACTGGTCACCAAAGTCAAGATAGCTAAAGGCCAAATTATATAGATAAACCACCATGATAAATAAGGGTGAGTGGGTATTTCTATGGTGTCATTGATCTTGGTTGTATCTTGATCTGCTCCATAAATTAAATAGTTAACAACAGGAACAGAGTGAAGCCAGCCTTGAGGCAAGTTACATTTTTCGTTGTCACAATCTTCCCAGAAGGATTGATGGGCGGGTTTTATGGAATCTTTGTACAGGCCAATCCACCACTGATATGAGGTTGAGGTAGTTGTTCGTAGTTGTGTTTTTTCATTAGAAACACTCTTAGTAACGTTTTGCATGTCAGTAATAACTGGTGTTTTTTCAGTCACCAAGCTTAGATCAGAAACATTTTCTTCTGTGATTACAGTTTTTCTTTCCTCATCAAGTCTTGGGTTAATTTCTAATTTAATTTGGTCTTGTTTCTTGCCTCGATCAGGACAAGGACTAACATTTCTAAAAATATTAATGCAAACAGTATCATCAAAAATAAAGGAATTAGCTATACAATAAGCATAATAATTATAATAAAAACCGATTTTTATTATTCTACTTTCAAAATATTATTACTTATTAATTAATATTACATCTGATAAAACTATATTAAGACTTGTTTATTAACATTACACCTGATAAACACTCTATATTAAGACTTATTAATTAATATTACATCTGATAAACACTCTATATTAAGACTTATTAATTAATATTACATCTGATAAAACTATATTAAGACTTATTTATTAACATTACACCTGATAAACACTTTATATTAAGACTTATTAATTAATATTACATCTGATAAAACTCTATATTAAGACTTATTTATTAACATTACTCCTGATAAACACTATATTAAGACTTATTAATTAATATTACAACTGATAAAAACTCTATATTAAGACTTATTTATTAATATTACACCTGATAAACATTCTATATTAAGACTTATTTATTAATATTACACCTGATAAACATTCTATATTAAGACTTATTAATTAATATTACAAATGATAAAAATTCTATATTAAGACTTATTTATTAACATTACACCTGATAAACACTCTATATTAAGACTTATTAATTAATATTACAACTGATAAAAACCCTATATTAAGACTTATTTATTAACATTACACCTGATAAAAATTCTATATTAAGACTTATTTATTAATATTACACCTGATAAACACTCTATTACATACTCATTGAAAGTAAAAAAAAACACATAGATAAGGAAGATTTCTGAAAATTTCATAACACCAACGAAATATAGTATTTAAGTCAAATTAAAAACAATATGGCTTTTGGTAACTGACTATCTTAAATACCTTAGTTTGAATGAATTTAATTCTTCATTAGTTGAAACTTTTTTATTACTTAGTGTAGATTAAATCAGTTAAGTTACTAATTATTTATCATAGTCTGAATAAACTTAATCTTTAATCAATTGTTACTTTTAATTACTTAAGTTTTAATACATTTAACTTTAGTTAGTAGAGAGTATAGGATTCAAAGAATGCATTAGGTCTGAATATAAAGAATATGTTTCATTTTCTATTTTACCTTTGGTGAAAAGAAATCTATATTATAATCATTAAACAGTTGGTCCACTGTAAAATACCAAATAATTAATTAGCTGCAATGACATAATATTATTCAAACACCTAAACTGATTTAGATTACTACATGGCGAGTTAAAAAGGACTTAAACCCCATAAATATTATATTTTTTTATAATCTTTTAAAAAACATTCCAAGGAACCTATGAGTACAAGAAGGAAAATATTGGGAACTAAAATATAAAACATATAGGTGATAAAAAGCCAAGATCTATACAGAAAGCTCTGCTATTTACTCGATGAGACAATATTATGTAACTTATGTCTAGGCCTGTGTTTTTAAGTTATGTTTTTTTTTATGGATTACCTTTTGTGTTTTATTATTGCTTAATCATGGTTTACAAAAACTAAAAGCAGAAATAATGTTACATGCAAATTAATTTTGATCACTTAAAGCTCTAATACATTAATCCATCCAGTGAGGCTATCACATATGTGGGATTTCATTGATATTGTGAAAAGTACTGATGATAAAACACAAAATATGATTAACCTATTGTTTGGTAACGGTGCTTAGGTGGATGAAGAGTGCTTAAAAACTCATAAATACCTTTCACCAGAGCAACACGGGAAATTTAAAAACGAAATCCAATATATGGCACAGCCATAGTGTACATATATATATATATAAAAAAAAAGTCCAACCCACATAAATGATAGCTGCAATTAATGGATTAACTGTCTTCTGGTTTCCACAATTGTTAATTTATGAATTTCTATAAAAGAAATATTTCCGAGAAATGCTTAATGATTTTACACTTTATAATGACTTCATTTAGCGTGCCAGTTTCCTGGTTAAGTACTACATAACTATCATATACCAGTTTGTACTTTAAAGACACCGGGTGTAGTAAATTCTTATCAATTTGTTTTTTCCAGGAAACAAATCTTCAGCTTTCAAATATTACAGTGATATGATGAAATAAATACTTCAAAAAACTCGTACAATTTTTATTTGTTAGTTCTAAAACATGATACACCATTTCTATTTTGATATTTAGTGTTTTTCAACAGGTCAAGAATTCCAAGACTCATGCATAACTATCATTAATTTAGAACTGCTGATCAGTTATCAGCACCTGTTGCAGTGATGATAACTTTTAAATAAATAGCTGGCCTGTTAGGTTTGAACTTTTAATATTCTGATCTCCATCCTGGCATGCTAACCACCAGAGTGTGCTCATCCCCATACATATTGTTTGCTTACTTTTTTTATTTTGTTATTTAGGATGGATAAAATATGAAAGTCCAACTCAGTTAACTTACTCTTATATTATTTCCTGGAAGCTGAAGTCTGCTTATTCTATAGAGTTAAAGTTTTTTAACAAATTTAATCAATTCTAATGCTAATCTCTTCCTATATATATCAAAAACTTTCTATAAATATTTAACTACACTGTTACCTTGGCAATAGGCCTTGCATGACCAGGTGGTTAGGGCACTCGACCAGCAATCTGAATCCCCATCACTGAATATGCTCCCCCTTTCAGGTATGTGGGTATTATAATATGAAGGTCAATCCCACTATTTGTTAGTACAAGAGTAGCCCAAAACTTGGTGGTGGGTAGTGTTGACTAGCTGCCTTCCCTCTACTCTATCACTGTTAAATTAGGGACAGCTAGTGCAGACAACCCTCATGTAGCTTTGTGTGTAAAATTCAAAACAAACCAAACCAAACTTTGGCTATAACAGTATTCATAAAATGATTGTAATTCATGTTTGTTGAAACCAGAAAAAAATTAATTCATTAGAGCCATAAAGGGAAGTGTTTGCACCTACAAATCCATAAAGGGAAGTATTTGTACCTACAAATCCATAAATGGAAGTATTTGTACCTACAAATCCATAAAGGGAAGTGTTTGTACCTACAAATCCATTAATGGAAGTATTTGTACCTACAAATCCATAAAGGGAAGTGTTTGTACCTACAAATCCATTAATGGGAAGTGTTTGTACTACAAATCCATAAAGGGAAGTGTTTGTACCTACAAATCCATAAAGGGAAGTGTTTGTACCTACAAATCCATAAAGGGAAGTGTTTGTACCTACAAATCCATAAAGGGAAGTGTTTGTACCTACAAATCCATAAAGGGAAGTGTTTGTACATTAGTAAACAATGAGTTTTAATTTCCTTTTCAGGGTAAATATAATTAGATTCTGTTAAATGAGTTGAAGACAGAATATAATTTTTAACCCCAGATGAAAAAACACGATTTTTCACAATACTCCAGTCATAGTCTACTACTGTGCAACTTTATTTTCAAGGAGTAAATATAATTAGATTATGTTAAATATAATTTCTAAATCCATAGAGAAAAACACTTTCTCATTGGATTTTGGGGATACTACAATTACTGCTACTTTAGAAATCTAAATAGATGAAATGCAATTATGCCTTGATTGGGACTTCAAACTGGATCCCTGATTTCCAGCTGATCCTCTAGGATGTTACACACATTGTAGATAACTAAGTATGGTGATTATATTGTGGCTCTAAGAAAAGGTAACTCTATTTAATTACAACGAATGATCCATATATTATTTTCCCGATTTTTCGGGTACTGAAGATTAATGTATAACGTAAAACTTTTTTTTACAATAAGTATATTCGTAAGGAATTACTGTGTATAAATACCACAAAAAAATATTTATAATTTTAACAGCCCTATCTTAAAGTCATATACTTAGCTTACAGATGAGGTCCTCAAAATCATCAAATAACACTAACACATAAAAAACCACATGTTTCATTTGCAAGGCTACGAAAAGAAAATTACATATGAATCACTATTTTTCCTGTTTAAACTTTTTATGTACTGAAATATCAGACATATTAGCACCTACCTAAACAATATAATGATTAACACGTTCAGCAGGAATGCAATCAAGCTACTTTCAAGCCCAATGACAATATGGCTTAGAGAGACATTAAAATTCCGAATTTCTAATTGATCCTCAATGTCATAAACATTAATTCCATAAAACATGATGTTACACAACATGGTTATCAACACTAGAGACAAAGCACACGTAGTTCTCTGAACCCTCGTGAAGTTGCTGCGTGGAGGACGCAATAAAATACTGGACCAAAGGTTTATATCTTGAAAAGACCTGTTCACAAAATACAGATAAGAACAAGACTTTAACTCTCATTATGATATACTGTAAAAGCAATCTTACAATTTCAAGCTCCTTTTTATATACATGAGCCAAGTTAGAGTGTCTGATTTTTCAAGTGTTACTCAGTCAATATTAACATAATATAAAAATAACTTTTAATGACTATTAGTTATTACATATATAAAGAGGGTTGAGCATATCAGTTTAAAACAATTTTGCAGCTTTACCACACAATTGCCCTGCAAAGCAGTGTAGCTACCACTGCAACAGGCTCCATCCTAAGGTTGTCATGTCTAAAGCACAGTACTCCTCCCTGTGGCTTTCCATTATCCAACACCTGTTTGAACAGTCTCATCATGCAGAAATTCATACGTACTACATATGGTGATTTGACTGATATGTCTTTGCCTGGAATAGCATAAATATTCATTTCATTCACCAGCTGCTTGAGGTATGTGACTGATTGACCTTATATGTCATGGAAGCAATTTGTGTTGCTTTTCCAGACAGATAGCCTTCTTGATTATGTTGCATACTATTACTTGAGACACATGGATGACATTTTCCAATGACTTACATTCATGAATTCTCACCTGTTAGAAGATGCCACACCTTACTTACCATGACTAGGATATGACTTGTAGGAAGTCTCTTTCTGGATGGTACTGGTACCCAGAGTTGATCCATATTCCTTTGTTTTCCAAATAAGGGTATAAGAAAAGGCTATTACATATCTTTCCCAAAACAAAAATTTCTGTGGCATCACAATATCTATGAAATGCCAGACAATGACAAATGTAGTTCTGATACTGTTCAACCAAGACTTTGTATTGGCTGTAGATGTCACATGACTGGCAAATTCGTATATTCAAAATCATTTTAAAATAAAGTACTCAACCCCATATATATATACTTATATAGTTGCTTTTCACAAAACTTTATAATATGACAGAAAACAGTTATTAACTAGCTAAGTATAGCATTCCACTAAGAAAAGGGCATTATTAACATTAGTAATCTAATGCCTGCACTTTTAAGAATTTCTTGCAGTACTTTTTTTGCACATATACTGTAGTCTATGAATGATACAACACTCTTTTTACAGTATGCGATTGTCATTGTTGTACTGATCCAGAGGTTTTAAACCCTGACAGTTCAGTTAGTAAGTTACTTGTCTTAGAAGATCCATGTGAGCTGGGGTTATCGAGTTCATACCAGGTCATTGAAACATGTATAAATCAAGATGCACCATAGCTTTCATTAGACGTGTGACAATAACAGAATATTATATAATTAAGTAAGCTATCAACTCATCATGAGCTACATTAAGATTATCAAATTGCTGTATACAAGATTATAAGAATTTCTTTATCTTAATTTCAAAACCATAATATTTTACTCTAAAAAAATTTAACTGTATTTTGCTATCTTTAGATACTGATAACATCATAAAAATAATCAAGAATTTGTATTTTTATTTCTAGAGTTGAGATAAAGTGAAAATATTTTACTGTTAGATTCTACAATGATAAACCTTCAATATTATAAAAAATATTGTATCATTGTCCATGGCATTTATTCTACAAAAATATGACAACTTTTCAATTGAATTAAAAGCAAGAGTCAGATATGTATGGCCAGTTTTCTACTATTGAATGTTTCTCTGAGTTGTATGTGTTATAGGGTTTTAAGCCAAACCACCTAGTATAATTTTCCCAATTTTTTCTATGGAAAAATTAAATGCTGTGTTTTTATTTTAAAAAATATATGTACCCATGGTTTTCTGATAGATATAAAAAGGAAGGTAAATCTATGTACATAAATTAATTTTTCAGTTTCTCTAACTAAGTCTAAGTTTGTATCAAGGGATAGTGTAAGCTGGATTAATATTTAAGACACATAGATTGCCTGTAGAGTACAATGATCAATACACATATAGTGTTCATACTCAAATATACAAAAAAAACAGTGTTTATCCCAGAGTAGCAATGTTGTATATAACCAGTCACAATGGATTTGTTACCTTATAGTGGTATCATTAAACTTCAGAGAAAAATTAGAAACTTCTTTTTGAGAAGTAGGTTTTAAATGACAGTGTATTCCCTCAGTTGTAATGTCTAGCCAACGTTCTGCTATAAAGAGCCAAGCACGATCTGTCTGGATGTCTCGAACCAGGATTTTCTTTAAGTACCTGAATAAATAAATCAATACAATTTATACAATACTTGTATTTTTAAAGGATATTGTACAAAGAGAACACATTCATGAACTGTTACAATGTGACTTGGATACTGCTGCTAAATAACCTTCCAAGAACTCTATATTAACAACCTCTCCAAATACTGAAAAACAAATGTATTAGGATGCCACGAACATATTTGTAAAAAAACAAATATATATATTGGTTGATTGATTTATTGATGATTTCGTTGCAAATGCTCCTAGGTGTATAAATAATTGAATTTTGTCACATTAAAAAAAAACTTCAAAGTCACTGAATTAAGCATGCATCAAATCACAGAAATGTTGTAATCAGTTCCTATCAAGGTACAGAAGTGTTGTAATAATTTCTTATCAAGGTACAGAAGTGTTGTAATCAGTTCCTATCAAGGTACAGAAGTGTTGTAATAATTTCTTATCAAGGTACAGAAGTGTTGTAATCAGTTCCTATCAAGGTACAGAAGTGTTGTAATAATTTCTTATCAAGGTACAGAAGTGTTTTAACCTATACATTCAAGAAACTTTAATAACCATAAAATGTTAACTTTATACACAACAAAAAGTATTACAAATTAAGTTTAGGAAATCTGTAGATCTCGATGTTCTTAACTTTTTACCCTTTCAATTGTTAGTACATTCCCTTGGTGAGCCAATAACTTTTTGTGCAGAGGTAAATAAATTTCATATAGTTTACACACACGTAAAGAATATCATTAAATTGACTACAGAAGTAAATGTATATATACTTCTGTAATAGATTGTTAATTATTACAGTTTCTGTTGCTGGCATTATTTGACTGTATTTAAATACCTCTAGCATTAGACTACACTTATTTCCTAAAGATAAACTTAACAAAATACTCCGACAGTGTGGCTTTGAACATATACCATCTACTGAATATTTGATAAAAATAAATCTTCATATGTAAAGTGAATTAATGTATCTAATAATAAATATATTACTTTAATCAATCAGTATTTATTCATTCAATGCCATATGTTTTAAATTATACTAATTAATTTTTTCTAGTGCATGCCAATTGGGGTTTGTAAATTATTGATAAAAATTTAGTTTGTACCGAAATGAAAAAGAGTAAACGAATATTGTTAAAGGCAGAAGAAAATACGTATTAAAAGATGACTTCTCACAAATATAATAAATAACAATCATTTATGCAAACAGCACAGACAAGATTTAAGATATTATCAAATACTTTTGAGATTGATAAATCATGATAACTTCACGCTATCTAACCATGATGGATTTGCTCCACCACTGTCATGCCAAACTTTCAGTCCTGTCAAACCACCGAGGGATTCAGATGTGGTAAGTAGATACCAGTCTTCACTTCCTTGCTGCATTCTTTTCATGTTAGAATCTCTTAGGAGTACCTTTCGGCTACTCGTTTTTCTTCCCTGTAACTGGATACCAACATTTGCAGTTGTGCCTGAATTCTAAGAACAAAGAAAAGATGAACTTACAGAATGTTCATCTTTGCCATGAATCAGATGATGTAAATATGAACTATGCTCTATGTTGGGTACAAAACATGAATGGCCAGGTGGATAAGGCGCTCGACTCGCAATCTGAGGGTCGCGGGTTCGAAGATTTAAGATATTATTAAATACTTTTTGTTTACTCCTTGACCAAAAAGTATAAAGAAATCTTAGCTCCTTCATGACAGATATCAACATTCTCTTTATCTGAGGACAAAATGAATCTGGTATGAAGCACCAAAACTGCACTCTCTACCTGTAGCTGACCAATCACCATTCCATGTGACAGTCACAAGATAATCCTCTATACAAAGATGAAACAGGTTCCTTGACTGAAATGTCTAAAGAAAGTAACACCTTAGGCTGAATCTATTACATGATCTCAGCTGGATTTAACCTGTTCCATACGAGACATGTAATATTTGCACATTACAGATGTAACACCTTAGGCTGAATCTATTACATGATCTCAGCTGGATTTAACCTGTTCCATACGAGATATGTAATATTTGCACATTACAGATTTATCTTTTATATCTACAGATTCTAAATTTTTTTATAAAACAACCAAAACATAAACAGCCAGCCTGCCAATAAAGTCAAAATATACATCTTAAACTTTTACATTATGTGCTATAGTATGAATCAAAAGCATGTAGACACCAATAGTTATTTGTACACTTACCAACCATATGCCAGTGTAAACAGAAATGAGATAAGCATATGTTTCAGAAGGTTTATTATCTCCTAACACCACAACTGCCCTCTACAAAAAAAAAAAGATTTTAAAGATGAGTTCTATTTCAAAAAAACAAGCCATATTTAGTCAGCAGTAACTAAAACTAATTTCTTTATAAACATTTTTCAAATATTACCACTGGCAGGTCCAGCTTTGGGTGTAACCAGTACTATACTCCCCCCCCCCCCCAAAAAAAAGAAAGAAAA